TCCTTCTTATTAATTAAACCACATAACTCGTTCATCTTCGTGTTTAATTTATTAAACCAAATCGAACTAAAACCCCTCATTTTGTTACTAGTTCTATAAAAAGAAAAGTATTCCTTTCCCTGTGGATACGAACCTTACTCCATTATACTACGTATAATTGTTGTATTGTATTATTATTTTGAGTGCACATCACGACAAAGTGCACGTCACTCTTCCTTACGGGAGGTCTCGGGTTTGAAACTCACTGGAGTGACTTTCAGCCTAAATTACTCTAGGCTCCCCAGACGCCCCCTGGCGTAAAAAATATATTAAAAAAGCTACATTTTTTTAGGCAGTGCATATGTAAATGCATTTATATACTAAACCAAACATAGAAAAAAAATTAAACATTTAAATAAAAAACTATCGATGATATTAGGATTAATGTTTATGTTTAACAATTAACAAATAAAAATTCCTATTTTAGTTAGTTTGATTTATTTGGTTCGGTTTGGTTTTGAAGGATAAAAACCAAAACCAAACCAAACAACCATTCAGCGGTTCCGGATTTAGTTTTTTTATTAGCGGTTCGATTTAAATTGGTTGCGATCCGGTTTATTTTGATTCGATTTTTGGATTTTGATTTTTTGTGCCCAAGGGGCAATTTCCTAATTAGGAGTAACTAAAAGTAAGATTCAACAATATGAGCATAAAATATAAATTCCCAACATAATGAAATAGGAATAAGTCTTCCTATCCTACCCTTTCCCTTGTCATGTTTTAGTAGGTTTTTTAAATAATACTACGGGTCAGCCCCTGCTTCAGCCAACTTCCGGCACAACCACCTCAAGTCGTTGGAAAAAAAAATTGTCATCTTTAACAAATTTCATCGTGATAATAGTTTTGAAAATAAAATTTGATATTGTCAAAGAGTGATAAAGCAATATTCATGACATTTTCAGAGAAAGGTACGGAGTAAATTTTGGTTTGCACAAGATGACGTTTTTCGATGATCGGAGGTGACGGTGCTGAGGGGTCAAAGATGGAGCGGTAGAGGCCTACATATTTTTTTTTAATTTTTTAAGTATTTAATTTTGAATATTTTGATTTTTTTTAAAGATTCTAATACTCGTATTAAAAAACGTTAATGCCTGCTTGAGTTGACTCCGAGCAGGTATAGTATTTGATTTTATCCTTCCAATTGATATGAGTAGCTTAATCGGGTTTGGAGTGAAAGTTTGAAAGGACAGTCAATTATCAAAGCATTTGGTCGAGCCTCGAGTAGGGGGTGCTATAGAGTCATAGAGATGTTGAAGTATTAACTTTGGAAGTAGAATTTAGTGACGAAATGTGATGGAAAACATTTGGGCACGTTAAAAAATGCCGATTTGTGGTGACAAAAGATAGTAGATATTTTTAATTAGATTAATTTTAATGGTAAACACTAGATCATGTCGGATCATACAACATCATGCATAATTGTGAAATGCACATAAAACGGAATCATCTGGTTCATAAATCATTTCGATATGTATGGGCATGCATCGATGACTGAATGATAATGAAATCTTGAGCGGAGTGATTACTCCGCCATTATGATATGACGATAAGGATTTATGGCCGGCGGGGTTCCTCCACTAACTTGGGCTTAGTGGATTAGAAATGTTGTGCTAAATACATTCGGTGATGATCAATGGAGTTATGAACCATTCTTATGTGCACATAACTATCTATACTGCAGTTTTGTATTTAGCCTTTCTGATATATTTTCCTCCGTTTCTTTTTAATTGGAACATGTTGAATTTTACACTATTCGCAAACTCTACTTTGACTACATTTTACACTATTATTTTATGATAATTATTTTTTAAAAAAATATTGTTCAATTCATCTCATTACAAATTTTCAAAAAGTGATTTTTGATTATTTTTTAAAAATAGAGAATAAGATATATATTTACGGTAAAAAATGTGTGTTGGCAAATGTGAAATATTGACCGTTGCAACTAAAAAAGAATTATTAGTTCCAAATGGTTGACTTGTGCCATATGCGCATACTTTTAGTGGATGATTGAGATTGTTTTACACCCATTTCAAATGAGGACGTCTTCCAATAGACGGCCCATTGACCATGATTAGGGGATGGCAACGGGGCGGGGGTTCACTCCCACATCCCCGCCCCATGTCTAAAAAGACCCCCCACCCCATCCCCCGCTACTCCCCGACCCGCCCCATCCCCGCCCCACCCCATTGTCCCCCACGGGTGCCCCCATATAAATTTTATTTTGTATTATTTGCATATTTTTTAACCTATTTTATAGATAAATATATGTGTAGCACTAAAAGAGGTAAACTAGCTAATATTATGTTTAATAAAAGTTAATTCCGCCAATTTTTAATAATTCTTTAATTTGAATAAATTATGTGAAGATAATAAAAGTAAAAATGTAAGTAAACATATTATCAACTTGTATGTCTTTACAGATTTCTCATCAATTAAAATACAATTAATTATTTATATTGTACATATATATGCATATGTGTGTGCTATTTCCTCACTTTCTCACTTTTAAAACACATCTAACATTTATGATAAGTATTTTCAGTCATTATGTACTCGTATTAATATTCTAATATAAGAATATGCATTAGTTCATTAACCGTGACTAAACACATACATTTATATATATGTATATGTATATGTATAGAAAAGATCAGGTCCCTCGGGAGGGACCGTCCGGCCAAGGCCATCAGAGGGCCTTCCCGGTGGAATTTTTTGATGCAATTTTTTGAGCATGTTCTTCATCAAGTCTAGTTTATCCATACCAAATTTCAGCTAAAAATTCAACCGGGAAGGCACTCAAATGATTTTTGGAAGATAACTGCGTTTTATATGTATATAAACTGCGCAGTTAACTTCCAAAAATCATTTGACTGCCTTCCTGATTGAATTTTTAGCTGAAATTTGGTATGGATAAACTATACTTCATGAAGAACATGCTCAAAAAATTCCACCGGGAAGGGCCCCAAATGGCGACGGCCGGACGGCGGGTCCTGTCCCTCCGGCTGGACAGGATCAGGCCTCTGTATATGTATATGTATATGTATATGTATATGTATATGTATATGTATATGTGGGAAATCTTTCCGGTAAGGTATACCTTACCGGAGCCGCCGTGCGGCCTCGGCGTTTTGAGGGCCTTCCCGGTGTAATTTTTTGATGAAATTTTTTGAGCATGTTCGTCATCAAGTCTAGTACATCTATACCAAATTTCAGCAAAAAATTCAATCGGGAAGGCAGCCAAACGATTTTTGGAAGATAACTCCGTTTTATATGTATATAAAGGGTGCAGTTATCTTCCAAAAATTATTTGACTGCCTTCGTGATTGAATTTTTTGCTGAAATTTGGTATGAATGTACTAGACTTGATGAAGAACATGCTCAAAAAATTTCATCGAAAAATTACACCGGGAAAGCCCTCAAAACGTGGAGGCCGCACGGAGGCTCCGGTAAGGTATACCTTACCGGAAGAGTTCCATGTATATGTATATGTATATGTATATGTATATGTATATGTATATGTATATGTATATGTATATGTATATGTATATGTATATGTATATGTATATGTATATGTATATGTATATGTATATGTAGAGTACTCTTCCGGTCAGGAATTCCTGACCGGAACCTCCGTCCGGACGGCGGCGTTTGGCCGCCTTCCGGGTGGAATTTTTTGATGAAATTTTTATGACATGTTCTTCATCAAGTCTAGTTTATCCACAAAAAAATTCAGCCAAAAACTCATTCGGGAAGGTCGTCAAATGATTTTTGCAAGTTAACTGGTCCGGAAAATACATATTCCGGACGAGGTAACTTGCAAAAATCATTTGACGACCTTCCCGATTGAGTTTTTGGCTGAATTTTTTTGTGGATAAACTAGACTTGATGGAGAACATGTCATAGAAATTTCATCAAAAAATGTCACCGGGAAGGCGGCCAAACGCCACCGTCCGGACGGCGGTTCCTGTCCGGAATTCCGGACATGAATAAAATTCTGTATATGTATATGTATATGTATATGTATATGTAGAGTAATCTTCCGGTCAGGAATTTCCTGACCGGAGCGCCGTCCGGCCTCCTCCTTTTGGGGGCCTTCCCGGTGGTATTTTTTGCTCAAATATTTTGTGTATGTTCCTCGTCAAGTCTAGTTCATCCATACCAAAGTTCAGCAAAAAATTCAACCGGGAAGGTCATCAAATGGTTTTTTCAAGTTAACTGGTCCGGAAAATACATATTCCGGACCAGTTAACTTGCAAAAATCATTTGACGACCTTCCCGATTGAATTTTTTGCTGAAATTTGGTATGAATGAACTAGACTTGATGAGGAACATACACAAAAAATTTGAGCAAACAATACCACCGGGAAGGCCCCCAAACGGAGGAGGCCGGACGGCCCTCTTGTCCGGAAATTCCGGACAGGAATATTCCTGTGTATATGTATATGTATGTTGATATATGTGTGTATTATATATTTTGAATTTATATTTATAACGGGGACGGGGCGGGGAACGGGGCGGGTGTAGCGATCCCCATCCCCGCCCCATATTTTAGCGGGGATAAATATCTCACTCATCCCCATCCCCATCCCCATCCCCATCCCCATCCCCGCCCCGCCCCAAACCCCACCCCATCCTCCCTCAACGGGGCGGTCCCCCATGGGCCCCCGCCCCCATTGTCATCCTTAACCATGATTGACAAGAGCATAAATTGGACTCGCTGATACGAAGAATAACAAATCATTTCTTATGCAAACAATATATACGCAAATTAAAGTTTTTCCAATTCGGTAATCCAGTTGTTGAATTCTTTTTCCTACACAAATATAAAATAAGATCTAATTAGATAAATCATAATGAATCTGGATTTTGGATTTGAAAATTGTGTATAATTTGAAACTGAAATGTACACGGACATGAATGAAAATTTGCGATGCCATTTTTGTCTGAAATTTTTCAGCAGTTGAGTAGTGTAGAATTCGAACCACTGCACCTTATTGCTATTATCCTTCATGATTTCACTCTTATTACCTCACCTATTAGAATTCAAACTCAGGTCTATAATTTGAGTTACATGTGTGGTGTGCATTTGTGCAGATCTTGCTAAAATAGGCCACAGTTTAAACTGTGTGTAGAATGTATTGAAGTGTCATTCTCATCTCTGCTAGCAAAACAAATAATCTTCTGATATATTGAGTCCATTTAGACACCTCTCCACTAAAAACAAGAAAGACAACTTGATGCTCAATCTATCTCTCAACAGTCTCAAGTCTCAAACTTTCTGATATTTCTCTATGTGAGAGCCATCTTTGACATTTGAAAATCTTAGAGAGAGTTAAGGACACCCGAATAGGGTAGTTGCTCCTTTTTGTCCATGGTAGTGCAATTTCGAGGAGTTGACTGTCAGACTACCCAGGTCCAAATCCGATTATGAAACAGATCGTAACAATTCTTTAACATGATAACACCAGATAACTTTAAATTAGTTTTTGTTGTTTAACTCAAGTATCAAGTTGTTAATTTAGCACACAAAAGAGGTTGTCGACAAAGTGTTGTGCATCAAGGCATTAACGTGTTTATGTGTGGCCTGTGTGAAATACACCCTTTAAATATGAGTCTGACACTTTGCTTGTGCATTGCGGGTGCTTCAACCATTTATTCTAGTTCTGCCATCATTTCATACGGTCAGGGACGCCTGTTAGCCCACAAGTGGTCACGTAGCTAAGCTAAACTTGTGCCTAAAGCCTAACACAATCAGCTAACGTCACACCACCAGCTAATGCAGCTATCTAGTGACAGGACTAGAACAACACAGTCGATCACAGACAGAAGGTACATGCACGCACGCAGTCATTCACTCAATGAAGTTTGGTAACTGCCTTCTGCAAGACAGGTAGTGGCCGCCCTAATCATCTTAGCAAGTCCATCAGGGATGGATGAAATACGCCCATCAAGGCCTAAACCATAATGCTTCAGCATAGACCAGTGGCACAAACTGTCTATCGAGATCCAGGCCAATCAAATGTCTCTGCCACCTTTGAGCTTCAAAATGAAATAGGTCAGTTTGTTAAGCGACTTATGACCTAAAGATATGCGCCCCAGTTTGTATGTTTGTACACTACATCCTCTGCCAGGTCCTCCCACGTGCAGAGCAAGGACGTGTTTGATATAAAGCGAAGCAAGGCTTAACAAAGTTTTTATGCACATTCATAATTGATGCATTCTGCATCCTCTTTCATGCGCCCAACCATCTTTTCTTCACACTTCAATTTTAGCAAGTACAGTGACAACTCAACTTGAACATCAAAGAGGGTAATCAGGAGAAAAACTAGGCAAAAATGTCTTCCTTGAAAAAAGATGGATCTATACATATATGAGGTTCTTCAGGCAAAGATTGAAGTTGTTCGTAGTCTATTTGTCGAGAAGCTTCGTACACAGCCACGCCAACACTCACAGATAAGTTCAAACACCTAACATATGTGTCCACCATTGGGATGCGGACGGTTCCACCACCAAGAGGCTCGTTCTTGCAATCAAGTACAGCTTCAGGGGGCAACCCTTTAGTTTCTGAGCCAAATACCAGCCAATCACCCCTTCTGTAGCAAAAGTCCTGACCATTATTTCATATTTAGACATTAGCATAAAATCTAGATCCTTCAATAAAACTCCATGGTACCCAAATTATGTCTGATCATCCTCATGCAAGGCAAACCAGATTATCTGGTTACCCCATTGTACAAGTTCCTACTTTCTCCATTTAGGTAAAATATAACTAAAGGAAAGTGACATTCGAGTGTTTGGACTTTGGTTCTTACCTTGGACAATGCTAAAGAAAATAATATATGTTTTTTGGATAAATTATAAATATACTTAATTTTCTAGTCTTGACATAATAGAAATAAATAATACACATATAAAATTAGTTTGAATATATATAAATATATAGTTGAGTAGATTTTTTTTCTCCTATATATTTTCTTTTCTTCCAGATTTTCTTCTCTATTTACCTGTGTGCTTTCTTTCTTTGCCTAGTATTTTCCGTGTTCCAAACAGCCCCTTATGGTAGGCTGTGAACCCATAAATAACCCTTGAAATCAAAGTACAGAGTTCTTAGCAAACTTGTTCTTCATTAAACTATAAAATAAATACTCTTAAATCTTACACTGCTAGCCCTGTGTGCTTCCTAGTTCTTATAATACATAGATTTTGTTAATAGCCCCAGATCATCAATCCTGACTTCATTTTCAATGCAAACCAAGCACAGAAAATTCCAATTTTAAATAAATTTTGGATTTCGAGAATCTAATGCCAAAAAATGTAACTATGCACAAACATGTGGTACTACCGTACTACTCACAGAATGTATGGTTGTCCCACTTTTAGTAAATGCCAAAAGCCTCTTTTCCCCAATCTGTAAAGGGGATATATATGCATATCAATATTTTATCAACGAAAAACATAGAGTTTTGATATTACACTAAGAATTGAGGGAAAAGAGAAACCTGTTTGTTGAAATAGACCAGAAATTCAGACCATGACAGATGCACTTTCACAACAACATATCTGAATTGAAGAGTTAGAAGTTGAAAACTTTACTAGCTACCAATTAGAACAATGAAAGGACAAATCAAGACAGCAACAAGTACACACTATACCAGCCATCAGCTCTTCCTTTGATCCATCTCTGTATGCATGCATTTACGATTGCATGTTTTCATACACATCTAAGTCTATCACTCCACCACGCAATTATGCTCACAAATTTTGTCACTCTTCTCAGAGACTCAGAGAAAGTGTAGTCTTCATTGATAAACATAATGAGAAAAAGTAAAATTCACCATGTGTAGGTTTAAAGAATGTCGGTCATGTTCCATTATATGCATGCTGATTTTACAATATCAACTTTGCAATGAAACATGACTATCACAACTCATAATCTCTAATCATACCTTTATGTAAGCTGATAAGATCTATGATTAGATTATTACAGTTTTAAATTGTCATCTCATTATTCATTTATTCCTGCTTTAAACATGAAGGACGTCTAGCGTGAAACTTCACCACTATACTTTCTTTGAAAATTTAGTGTTAAATATATTGTGAGGATTAACTGTCACTGGGAATTTCATGCAACAAAAACATAGTTGGTATTAAGGTGATGAGGTGATAGTAGAGATGATGATGGTTTGGCAAAACAAATGTGTGGAGATACTCAGCAAGAAATCAGCATATTCTTAAATGATCAACCAGTGGGTTGGTAACAAATTCTACATAAGTGTAAGTTATATTATTGGGGTGTTGCAAAGGAATGAAGGATACGGCCAGTAATCAAGTCCAGCTCGCTTTAGCTTTGTATCATCAATTGCAAATCCTAATGGCTGGAAAAGGGCAAAGAGCAAAGCAGATAATACTTGACTTACAAATAAGAAACTGAGCACTGGGAAAGCATACTCAGTCTATAAACACTGTACATGTATACCTGAACTAGGTGGAGTTTAACACCTGATGCTGCACATGTTCTTGCAATACTTCCAACATTCCCAGGAATCTATTAAAAGCAAAGGATCATAAGGAAACAGTTTAGTGTGCAGATTCTATCTGAAGGATTACCTCAAATGTAAAGCATCAGATAATAACAAGACGTAGTACTTTAGCTGAAACCATCCAGTGGAATGGGTTATATCAACCATGTATGGGTTAAACTTTCACAACTACTAAAATGAAATCAAGATTATGGGTTGCTCAATAAGATTGTCAAACATATTTCAGACAATAAGTCCTTCATTTCCAATACATGCTGCATATGAACAAGAGAGCTTATATTGAAGTTATCTATAGATAATTGATGACGTTCTAATGATACAAAACCCAGTTTTCGTTCCGCTGTTATTTCCAATCGTGTAATTTAGACACTTTCTTTTGCTATTTATGACTGTGGTCATTCAATCGTCTTAAATAATGTAAATTTGGTCTTCCATATTACAGATAGATTAACGCGGATTATATATAGGATTTCATTGAATAGATTGTTTCGTCCAAAAAACTGCTGAACTACTTACCCAAAACCGCAATCAGTGTCATACAGCACTTCAGCAGCCACATTATGTAACTTTGAAAATGAACAGTTAGTTTTCTCTCTTTGAAAACATGAAAATGGTTAGTTATGCTGCCCAATAGTCTTATTTCAATTCAGAAACACTCTAATACTCCGTTATTATCAATGAAATAAGCAACCTTATTAATGCATTTGAAGTGTTGAACCATTTCCAGAAAATCCAATTCTCAAATCATACCCAGAATCTTATTGAATATGAAAAGGTTGAGAACACACATAGCCCAATATTAAATCATCTACATGTAATAATGCAGCAGGACTAGAGATTACAGTAGGATTTATGTCAGACATATATTAACCAAAAGATGTAAAGATCGAATTTCTGTTATCAACCTGAGGAGAAACTAAAACCACTTGAAGAAAACTGTTCTTCTTTGAAGCTTCATTAACAGCTTCGCCAACCCCCTTAGGCAAAGCTCTTGTGCCACTCGTTTCTGCTAAAAGAAACTAATCTTTATTTTATATAATGAAATTTCATGCTCCGTATTCATATTTAGCGAAAAGGGGGGGGGGGGGGGGGGGGGGGGGAATCGAACTCTAAAGTTTACTAAAGGTAGTTACTTACGCAGTGTGCATAGTGGATAAAAGAGAGAAGCAGATCTCAAGATAGGTAAATGCAATTTCTGGCGAGAGGAGTGAAAGAGAGAAGCTTTGGACCAAAGACGGAGAGGTGTCGCGATGGGGCTCAAGGTTTTCAAGCCAGACGTCATGTCTGTCTCCGGCTACTGGGCGAATAACTGTTCTTCTTCTTCTACCTCTTCCGCCGTCGACTCTGCGCACTTGATTTCTGGACTCATCAATTGTAGTTCAGCAACATGCGACCATTGGTGGAATCCGAAGCTGGAATTGTAAATCCTAACGGCCTGATTGGGAGTGTTGAAGGTTTTCTAATTTGGAAAATGCTAAGTATACAGGTTTTCTAATAAGTTGATTTTGTGCAAATAATGAAAAAAAATTGATTTAAATAAAGGTATAGAAAAAGAGGATGAAGAAGGAAAGAGGAGAATGAAGAAAATACTTCTTACTGCATCATGTACACAATTTGGAATTTTTTCTCGAAATAATGCTAATTAAATAAATAAATCCCAAAATACTGTTGGGTTAAAACTAATTCCCAAAATACTGCCGGATTAACCGGGGTTAAGCAGCCCATTACAAGAGCCGCCACTCGAAGTGGCGGCTTTATCAAAACTCCTTATCACGTAACACACGCAAGGCGCAAGCAAGCCAAAGTCCAAAATCATTACATGGTAATGGGTCCCACCATATTAAAAATGTTCTGTTTTCTTTAAAGTGCTATAACTTTTTAATTTGTATTCTGATTGTTACAAAAAATATACCAAAGTTCATAATTTTTTATTATCTTTTATATGACACCAATATTGAATATATAAAATCAAAAAAAATTAAATCTTTACAAATTACTGCGCATATGTTTTTAAAGTGCTACTACATCCATTCCAAATTTATCTTCACTCTTTCCTTTCCTTTTTGACAAAGAATTTGTGGTTCACAACTGTTCATACACATATTTCTCTCCTCCGCACAACTCTCCACCACACAAATCTCACTATCTTAATATGTGTGCCCAGTTTTTACTCGGACGAAGAGAGTATATATATTTTTTATTTGTATTCCGGTTATTACAAAATATATATCAAAATTTATCATTTTTTATTATCTTTTATAGGAAGCAATGTTTTGTATAGAAAAATAAAAAGAAAATCCTATAATTTGTGTAGTTTAGGATCAATTTTTACCATGCACTAATAAAACGATCCTAAACTACACAAATTAATAGATTTTCTTTTTATTTTCTATATGAAACATTTCTTTCCTATAAAAGATAATAAAGAATAATAAATTTTGATATATTTTTTGTAATCATCGGAATACAAATAAAAAAATACATAACACTTTAAAAAAAGATACACGACAATTTTTAAAGTGTTAAATATTTTTTTGATTTTACATATTCAATATTGGTGTCATTTGAAAGATAATAAAAAATTATGAATTTTGATATATTTGTTGTAACAATCAGAGTACAAATAAAAAAGTTATAACACTTCAAAAAAAACAGGAAATTTTTAATTTTGTAGGACCCATTACCATGTAATGTTGTTGACTTTGGCTTGCTTGGGTGATTTGCGTGATATGGAGTATTTGACAAAGCCACCACTTGAAGTGGCGGCTATTGTAGAGCTTGCTTAACCCCAATTAATTCAGTAGTATTCTTAGCATTATTTCTGGAAAATACTCACCATTTTGTCCATTCTCTCTTAAATTTTGTTAAATTCGGTATTTTGGGTACATTTAGGTATTTCCCCTCACCCCCAATCCCCACATGCCACGCTGGTTGCAATGATTAGGATTTAGGACCCTTCTCTCTGTCATTCCGAACTCTCAAATTTCCAACAACACTAGGGTTTTTCTGAGGTTTAACTGATCCGACTCCCACACGAAATGGCCCGCTCCAACGCCACCCATCTGGCTCGCGCCGCCCTCTCTTCCCATCTTCTCCGCGAACCCTTTTCTGTACGGTTCTTCTCCATACGTTCTATAACGATGCATGCGGTAATGAACGCAATGTGTGCAGATGAAAAATATGATTTTTTTTTGCTTTACAGGTATTTGAATCAACATGCAGTGCTGGTTGCAGACACTATAATACATCAATATGCAACAAGCCGAGACCTTTACTCCAATCTTACTTCACAAATGGCAAGCTAAACGTGTCTTTGCTTGAATTCCCACTATTCCCCTGCCCCCAATGCTATAACGATGTGGCTTAAGTCCTTTGTGTTGTATTGATATATGTATTTCTTTACATAGGGGTCAATGGAAGAGTTTCGTGGAAGTTCGAACAATCAAATGCTTATTTTGGTCAGACAAGATCAATCCATGCAACAGGTTACTCCCCATCTGACTAATTTAAATCTCCTTTGCAAACTTTTTAGTTAGAAATGGAAGAAATCCTGCAAGGATATATGAATGGAATTACTATTTACAATTATCTGATCAGAAATATGGAAAACATGAGCTAAGCTGGGTGATTGGAAAGGCTGCATGAGATTAAATATCAAAACACAGTATTATTTATAGACCTGAAAAAAGGTTCCCTATGCATGTATTACCCCAAATGAGGCATTATTAATCATCATTTGAAAGAATTCGTAAAGAACAAGTTGCAAAAGGTTGTCTATCATTTGGATGACCCCAAATGAGGCATGGCCTAAAAAAGAGGTATAAGAGTTAGACACCCCCGCCAAACATGCACAAACATATGGTTCTCCTTTTCCTAAATGTAAATGCAGTAATGTATTCATAGGTTTTGGAATTTTGGGTGTAACATGATATAATTGTCTGTATTAGTTATAGGTTTTTAGCTGATGGATATTTTCACTTATAGAGATGTCATTTTAGAAAATGAAAACGTTTACTTTTTCCAAGCTTTTAGCATTTGTGCTTATCAATCTAAATAGTAGTTTGGATCTATCTCAGAACCCAATAGATGCACATTGTTTTCTTTAATCTTTATTCTTCCATATAAATGGTTAAAGCTGCACTCTTCCAAGTTCCAACAAAACTGCCTCATTTGGATGTACTTCCCACACTTAACCATTCTGAGCCCACACACAGGGATTATCTCACACAGTACAAAGATAGAAACTTTTTGCATGTATCGGAAACATGAATGAGGATGAACAGAGGATATGGGTGGGATCAGGGGCTAAATGCTATCTATGCCTTTTATCCCTATGGTTGAGGTCTGACAGTCACATCTAATAAGCTATAGGTGCACATGCTGCTAAGTGGTTACTACATTCTAGTCATGCAATATCATCCTCATCCTCTCAATTTACAAGCACAAATCAAGGGCTATCTTGCAAGGACACAGATCCATGAAAAAAGGGAAACATGATAAGCCACCCAAGGAATTCTACCCCATTCTTATTAGTTGATGCACTAGGTTTTGCAGTGTTTAAGAGGAAAGTGGCAGGGGTAGCGAATAGTAAGTGACTTAGTGATAGAAGATGAAAAGTAGAAGAAAGATAAGATGAAAAAGTAATGATATTTATGTATATTGATATGAAAAAGTTGGAGATATTTTCCAAATTAAGAGAGTGGAGCAAGTATTAATAAAATTTCCCAAAAGGAATATGGAGCAGCTAATGCAAAATCTGGGAAGTATCAATTTAATTGAAAAATAATCATCTGAAAGGTTTTGTAGAGTTTCTGAAACATTTCTAGAATATGGAAGCATACTTTCTAAGAGTTCCTTTGCATCATAGATCTAGTGATCAACAGAATGATCCTTTCCTGAAATGGGCATATATGATACCTATGCCAGATACAAATGTCTCGAGATGAGGCTCTTAAAAATATAGGAAATTACTCTGAAAGAATTCATATGCTATTAGTAGTTGCATATTACTACCTCCGTTCTTAAATAGTTGCAACATTAAAAATTTTACACTAATCATGTTCTCCACTTTGACTGTATTTTATTTATAAATGTATTAAAATTTTTAATTTTTTAAAAGTATATTAACTCACTCTAAATTTTCAAAATGTGAATGTTTTGAAATGTTTGCAATTTGGGAATTAAATATATTAATGGCCAAAGTTGTGCATTGGCAAACATGAAAGTGGAAGCATTGCAACTAAAAAAGAACGGAAGTAGTATTTATTTTTCATGTCCTTTGTATTGTCCCCTCATAAATGCGCTCACCCTCGATGTGTATTTCTAATTTTAGATTTATAATTATAACTTTTTTATTTGTATGCCCTTAAGCTGTACATCAACTTGATTTTCCAATCATGAAATGCCTGCCATGTATCAAAATAGTCATCAATCATTTATGGTAACACTCAACAGCATGGATATTGTTGTTGTTGTTGACTCAACAGCATGAACATGACTCTACTCACATAGTCACATATGATAGCGGCTGGACTGTTCTACAATCTAGTCAATACTCCATATACAAATATGATGACCTATTAATATTTATCTTAGATTTATCTATGCTTTGTTATTTCCAGTTATCCCCTATCCAGGCAAATAGTCATTCTCCCTACATTTATTTTTGTTTATCAGCAAAAATGTCAAGCAGAGATTTTTATGATGTACTTGGCTTAAACAAGAATGCAACGGCATCTGAAATTAAAAAAGCATATCTAGGGGTATGCAGTCATCTCTTCTTTGGCTGTTATTCTTTATAATTTGAGAGTTGAAGCATTTGAGTGACACACAAGGGGCAACTTTTCAAAATATTATTGATGGCTATCAGGTTATATGATCATAATTCATTTAACGTTTCTCTTAAAGCTAATTGCTGCTCATGGATGTTCAACAGCTTGCAAAACAGTTGCATCCAGATGTGAATAAAGATGACCCAGAAGCTGCAAAGAAGTTTCAGGAAGTTCAAAGGGCTTATGAGGTACCATTTCATTTTAATAGTTTTTATCAGTTGAGTAAGCAAAATGTCCTTACAAGTTTGATATTGCATGAAATACTGTTTTCATTTATGTGCAGGTTCTGAAAGACGATGAAAAGCGCCAGACTTATGACCAGGTATTGCATAAGTGCACACACACACATATGGAGTAATATGTTTTGTATAACCATTTAGGGCATTAAATTTTTCTGTTTAGTAGTGAGAGACTGAGAGGGTATTGGTGGGATCTCTGATTTAAGCTGTAAAGGTATAAAGTTATATGGTACAATAACACTATTAACTCTTCATCAGCAACTTATTCCCAGCTAGTTGGTTTCAGTGGTATACTGCAGTGTCAATTAATTGTCAAAATTAGTTTATACCATGGGTGCATGAAAAAAATAATAGTGACAAACTGACAATGTATTAAACTAGATTCCCTTCATGGCGCAACCTTCTCATGAAGGAGCAACTAACGAGGCGAGATTCTGAAGCTGTCATCATCACAGGTAGGGGGCAAACCAGCCGAGCTGAGCTCGAACATGGATATGCTTGAGCTTGAGCTTGATAAAGAATTCACGAACTCGAGTTAGGTGGAGCTAAATAGTTCGGGCTCGATCTCGAGCCGAGCACCAGTCGAGTTTTGCTAATGAATTTTTATAGGTTTGAGCTTGAATAAGATGTTTGAACTTGAGCTCAAATTCGAGCTAAAAATAAAATTTCAAATTATTAATATTGCATTTTTCATACAAATAAATAAATAATATCTAATATTTGTACATATTTGTTCTCATTTTTAATTCCTCTCTCTATCACTGACATTTTTACTCCTTATTTTAAATTTTGAAATGTATAAATAAATAAACATCACATTACATATAATGTGTGTATATGTAATCATAAACGTAATATATTATTATTTATTTATGGGAAAATCGCACTTTTAGTGACATTTCATTTCACTTTGTACACTTCACCGCTCAAAGGACCACATTTACACCAATTTGGACAATAGAGGGGTGACATTTACAAACTCAGAAATACGGGTCTGACATTTCAATGTGGTGACTATTTTGGGGACTAAAAATGTGGTTTCCCCTTTATTTATCTATCTATCTATTTATCGATCCATTTACTTATTACGTTATGGCTCGCGAGTTCAAAGGAATTGATTTCGAGCTCGGCTCGTTTGCTTATTGAGCCGGCTCAAGTTCAAGTTTTGACTGAGCGGCTCACAAGTAGCTCACGAGCAGCTTGACTCGTTTGTACCCTTAATCACAGGTTATTTTCACTAGCATTAAAACTATAGGAGACATAAATTTTGTCATGTAAATGACATAAATTGGATAATGATTATGTGAAAGTAGCATGCAAGATATGAAACATGACCAAACATTTTTATTAACTAAATGTCCTAAATGTAAACCTAAAGTTTGAAACTTCTGGAAAATTAGTGCATATTCTAAAACAAACCAGAACTATGATCTGAAGTAAAAGTGCTTCATACAGTTGTGTGAGTTGACATGTTTATGCTACATTGTTACAGGTGGGTCATGATGCATTCAATAGTGCAGAAGAGAATGGAGGTGCGGGGCCTGGCTTCCCTGGGTCTCCAGGTTTCGAGGACATGTTTAACTTTGATGTAAGAATCTATTTATGATGTTACTTGAGTCTCTTTAGTCATTACTCAACTTATTGTATGCGTTCGCTGTCATGCCAATGTGTGGTCTTATAAACATATGAGTTTATTACATTTTATTTCTCAATATTTTACTTATATAAGTGAGTTTATTTTTTTTACATTGATGGTTTGATACGAAGATAAGCATGCAAATGCTGATCAGAAAATGAATGACAGATAATAGTGTCTGCAGTTCATATTGAATATTGCAGCATGGAGGGAACTATTGAGCTTTTTATCTATCGTTTGTTTTTGTGGCCTTTTATTGGAACTCTTCGATAGGTGACTCAATAATAAATGGATGGTGGAAGGGCAATGAAATTGTTTAAAAGAAATTAGTCAAATTACTATCCATGTTTTCATTCATGAGCATGCACTCTGAGTCCGCCTAGTGCGTATATTGAATATATCCTTGAGAATCCTTGGGGGGTGGATAACTTGAACAGTTTCCATCTAGTTCTCTTGTTATGTAAAGTTTTCAAAGAGGACATCATGACATTTCACTAGACATTACAATACGTAGTTTAGCCCGATTAAGTGAACTTGTTATCACTTTCAATTCTCAAATATATACATAGGATGTTTTTACTTGGACTGTAATTTGTTCCAGACCAGACCAGACCAAACTTGGATAGTTATAAAAATACAAAGAAACCAGACCAGACCAGACCAGCAAATTATAGTCTAAGTAAAAACATACATAGTATTATAGATACAAAACAAGATAGTGTATCCCTTTTAGCTTTTGTTTTGCTTGTTTTTCCATCCCCAAAGAGAATAGAATGTCAGGGGACTCAGGGCACTAGCAAGTCATACATACATTTAATTGGTCCCTGTCAAGTCCATGTAAGCTGGACAAGGGCTAGTAATATATTTCCAGATTTGTCTACTGTTATTTTCTGTACTATCCAGTTGAGTTTGACATGCTTATCTAATGTACTTAGTTTACACCCACAAACATGTGCATTATAATCACACAAGCTCTGGGATCTCACTTCTCTTTTTTGTTTTCCATGCATTGGTTATTTCCATAATGGAGAGCAGATCTTCAGACCAAAGATGGGCGGGGAAGATGTCAAGGTTTTTCATTTTCTTTCATATGCTTTCTTAGTGATGGCATATGACAAATCATATGTTATCATATTATTATCATATTAAAATTTCTTAGAATTTCCATTTTTTCTTGAGCTTGACATAATCTTGCAATCACTTTTGCAGCTCTCTGTGGAACTCTCTTTCATGGAAGCTGTTCAGGGTTGCAATAGAAGTGTTACATTCCAAACTGAGTTACCTTGTGGTGCTTGTGGTATGTAGTGTCCTTAGAAAGCTGAGTACAACCTTTTTATATAAAAATATAAATGTGTACATTCATTTCAACAATTCAACACAACACATTATATCATATGTGTAGACACGTGTATACATTGGGACATGGTTATTAATAACAAGAATGTAATTCTATAAATAGTTTTCTTTCTAATGAGTGAAATTAATTTCTAGGAACGAAGTTGTAATTACTCTGGAAATATTTCCTTATATCATTAAAAATGAATAATGTTGCTGCCTTGCTGGAAAATGGAACACTAGACCAAGTTGAACCAGTGATCAAAGTTGGATTTGTATTTTACTTGATCAACATTATGATGGATCTATTTTTAGTCACTGTCATTAGTGCAACTTCATTATCCTTTACTTTTCTGAAGGGCAGATGAAATATATGTTTTCCTTTGTAGTAAGTAGTAACTCTTCATTGAGGGTCTGGGAAAACGGGACTGTTGTATGCTGCTGAATTGCAAGTGAAATGTCTCTTTGTTACTCGAAATTTAGACTATGTAGCTGGAATCAAATAGCGTGACATCCTCTGTTGTGGAAAATAAATATTTTTTCCGTATCTTTTTCCTTCCATTCTAAGTGGTGTAAAAATAGTTCTGCCAAATACTTATGATTTCATATTTTAAGGTGGAAGTGGCGTTCCCCCAGGGACAAGACCTGAAACATGTAAACGCTGTCGAGGCTCCGGCATGGTGAGTGCTCTGTTCTTGTTTTAGATTTTTTTGTTTTTGCTTTTATTTTAATATTTACTCTAATCTTTGTGCTATTTCCAGGTGTTCCAGCAAACTGGCTTTTTCACAGTTCAGTCTACCTGTCCACAATGCAGAGGGTCTGGGAAAATAGTATCGGTATGATAATTGTGATTGAGTCAGATGACTGGTTATTGTCATCTAGAATTTATTTTCTTCCTTAATTGTTCTCTCCCGCCTGTTCTCAATCAATCAATATTCTGTATTCCATACTGGTCCTCATTCGTCACCCGCTATTTACTTTGTTATTCCAAATATAATGTAGCCTTTAACATGTATGTCATATATGCATGTGGTAAAAAAGACAAGTCCACAAAAGGTCTCCAAATTAGTGTGGGGCTGTCCTCTTCACCTGTAAAAGTTGACCTGTTCTTAAATTTTTAAACGTCTGCTTTGTTCTGTTCTGACTATAAAGTTATTGATCTTTTCAGTTTTTCTTATTCTGAATGTTTCTGGTCTGTTTTTATATGATAGAAATAAATATAAGAAATAAGCGATAAGTTAAGCAAACCTTTTTGTTTCCACTCTCGAGTCTCGACCTATGGTTGTGAAAGTCCCAACTTTTCTCTGAGCCCAATTTTACTATGAATTTTTTTATTTCCTAAAAATTACTACCAGACTTTGTTTTCACTCTAGCTTCAATGTGAACATCATAATGACTTGTGTTAACGGACAAGATTTGCTGACTGTTAACACTGGTCTGTAGAGTTTCTGCAAGACATGCAAGGGAAGCCGCGTAGTAAGAGGGACTAAAACTGCAAAGTTGGATATTATGCCAGGTAATTAGAAATTTGAGAATGATCTTTTATACATACTCCATGATATTACTTATAGAAATTGGTTGGAATATGTTCTCATAGGACCATCTACATAACCTAAGAGCTACTGCTGAATTACACCATGTGGTTTATAGTGTAATTGAAACATTCACCAGTGCATTTATTGATCTGTACCGACATTCATATTTTGATTCGTGTCATAAAATATGAATATGTTGATGTGTGGTGGTAAAGAAATTGATGCAAAAACACTGAAACTATTTCATTCTTTGCCAAAACCTTTTTAAACTTTACTGTGATGTAGTTGCATTTAGCTCTAAATTAGAAACATTTGTGCAATTGATGGATTTTGTTATTCATCATCCACAGGAGTGGACAACGATGAGATTCTGAAAGTATACAGAAGTGGTGGAGCTGACCCTGATGGCAATCAAGCGGGTGATCTTTATGTTACCATAAAGGTCTTTAATTAATCATCAGTCTTTCCTTGTGGATTTTTTTATCATTTGTGGTGTGACACATGTCACGTACTAACAAAGGTTTGTTTGAGTTGTTTCAGGTTAGGGAAGATCCTGTGTTTCGAAGAGAAAGGTCTGACATACATGTCGATGCTCCTTTGACTATCACCCAGGTTATATATCCCGCTCTCAGAATAGAGATATATGTAGTTTCCTATTACATGGTGTCACAGTCAATAGGGAGGGTAAAAGAGAAAGCGTCGAAAACAAATTAATACTGATGTGACTTTTAGTGTGAAACTCCCCTATTTCTAAAAACTACTGCAATGCCTCCCTGGAGAAATCATGGGCGTAAACCCGTCAGCTGGAATAGGAAATATATATCCTACACCTAATGAAAATAGGAGACCATAGTACTACTCATCATCATCATTTCCCCAGTGCCTCAAAGGCTCCCACCTATGGTGGGGTAAGAGGGGGTCGGATTTAGGCAGTCTTACCCTTGTACTAAAGCATAAAGAGACTCTTTCCGGATGACCCATAGTGAAAATTGCGTCCAAAATTGCATGGACTGACTGTTGCTTCATAACAAAGAAGCACAAACAGTTTAGTGAGTCATTTTGCTTTATTCCATCATATTTTCAAGGCAAAAATAGTGAGTTGTTGGCTCCATTGCAAATGATGAAAATAGGAAACCATAGCACTACTGAACTACTAAAATTATGATTAGTACTTCTATCTATACTTAATCAGACTATAAGCATTAGTATCACTAGATGGTGTATGAAACTAATCGTGAGGGTTCTTTTTCAACAGCTTCAATAGCTGCTTAAAGTCTAACTTGTTATTATGGATTTGTATTTAATGTTTTTTTTGGCTGTCAGTTAAGTGTGGCAAGATTGTTTTTTCTCTACGGCTTCAAGGCAATTGTTTAGTGTTGGCAATTGTTTAGTGTTTGTGGTTTATCAGGAGGCATGACTTTTACTTTAACTTGATTGTTATTATACAAAATGAGATTTTGTTTTCAGGCTATTTTGGGAGGAACAGTTCAAGTCCCAACTCTAACAGGAGAAGTTGTTGTCAAGGTTTGTACTCTGAATCTCATAAGACATCTCACAATTCCTAGTCCTTAATTCCGAGTGGGATATACTGGATTTCTTTGGTTTGGTTTGCTTGGTTTAATCGAATTCACTCAGTTCACTCCTCTCTTAGACCCTTATTGTACATGTGTGTGCGGGTGTGTGGGCGTGTCGACAAGTTGACAAAACCATAAACTTCTCCTCCCATCAACTTTGATAAGCTTCTATAAGCTGCTCATTTTACTGATGATTGTTTGCCAACATGATGTCTATTTAAAAATTTGATGGAAACACTGTTTTCCTCCTAATTTCTATCTTTCTTCTCCCCAACAATTTTTTGGCCATCTGTTTTGCAGGTTCGTCCTGGTACTCAACCTGGACAAAAAGTTGTACTGAAAAAGAAAGGTATTTGCAGCATGCAGATCATTTTCTATGACACCTTTCGATGTCTGTTTTTTATGTATATTTATTTCACATGCTATTATGCATAAAAAATGTTAAGGGAGAATTTTGAGATCATTAAAAACAAAAAGCAGCAACCTCCAATCTGTAGGAGGATATAAGTATATTTGGCATTTTGGAGTTGATTAATGTTTTCTTGTTGTCATTCGTATGCAGGAATAAAAGCAAGGAATTCATATACATTTGGGGATCAGTTTGTTCACTTTAAAGTTGGCATTCCAACGTATGTGTTTGGACTTTGGACAGTAAAATTCAATTTAATACTTTTGCTTTTGCATTCTTCTGTTGATAATAAATAACAGGAAATAACAAGATTATAAAGTAGACATGGACACGGTTCCTTACCTAAATTGGACTCGCCTGTTTTGTAACCAGGAACCAAACAACCAAACTGATCTGCCAACTGGTCATTTTCTGAGCTGGTTCTAGTTCCTCCAAATATGACTACCAGCCGCTTCGATACCAGTTTCTTCTGTGGTTATGAAATTTACTAGGAACAAAACTAGAACTAGATTTGGAAGCACTAGTATACCGACCTAGTATTGAGGATTACATGAATCAGGCGGTCTGGAAACCATAAATGGTTCGTGTCCCCTCCTAACCATTAGCATTAACCTTTGCATGGTTTGTGGGTTTTAGCACGGGCAATAAGATGAGTCATACTTAGTGCCCTGTCTAGCATTATTTGGTCCAAATTACAGTGCATTCAGTCAGTAGCGATATTTTTGTGAGTATAAGCACAATAAGCAACAGAGCAACATTTTTAACTAATTCTCTAATTATATAAAAATGCATGAGATAACTAAATATATGTACTAATTATGTTAGTGCTACTGTGCTACATGACCATATAGAGAAATTAGTAAAAAGCAAAGAAACCACAATAATACAAACTATAATGTTTGATCTGCTGAATTTCTGGTGCAGCAACTTGTCAGAAAGGCAACGTAAACTAATAGAGGAGTTTGCCAGAGAGGAAGATCGAGAAGAGGATAAGCGGGCTGCTGCAGGTGCTTCTGGATGAAAATGTGGTGGGTCGATTAAAAAGAATAATCTTTGAATTCTTTCGGAGTTGTGGCAGATCAATTTTGGACAGATGTTATGTTGTAATTTGTTATTGTTAAGGCCTCTCAGTTGTATATACAAATTCATGTTATTCTTTCATTTAATGGAAGAATTTCCAATTTTCTGAGTAATTATAGATTCGTAGATCCATGTATACTCATGGATACAAACAGTGCAAGCGTTGCCCGAACTATTGATCATTTGATCTATTTCACAGTTTAATCTCAAGAAGGTGTATTAGTGCAAAGTGCAAACAAATGCAGATAAAAATGTCCAAAGCAAAGTAAAATAGAACTGCATATCATATACAGTTAAAACATGAACATTAATGTAAGGAAGGTTAACACTGCATTTGAACATTTATGCGGCAAAGACCAATGTACAGTAGAGTTATAAAAAATCTAGAGATTACTTAAAATCCTCAAAAACATCCTCCCACTGTCCCACATCACCATTCAAACCACTTAACCATGATTAGTCATGGAGCCGGGCCCGGCCGGGCTTTTTTTTTGGGAAGGAAGGCCCGGGACCGGCCCGGGTAGCCACCGGGTCCGGGCCAGGCCGGGCCTCCGGTTTGTTTTTTTTTTGCTTTCCTAACCCCCCCTCACCCCCCCCCCCCAAACCTCTCAAACCCCTCCTAACCATCAAGCCCAACCCGGGTGGAACCCCAAAAAAGGAAAAAATAAAAAATAAATCAATTCGGCCCGGGCCCGACCCGGCCGGGCCGGTTCGCCAAATACAAGGCCCGGACCCGCCCCCCCACCGGGCCTAGGCCTGACCCGGACCCGAGAACCGGGCCGGTCCCGGTCCCGCATAGTAGCGGGCCGGGCCGGTCCACGGGCCGGGCGGCTCGAACCGGGTCCATGACTAACCATGATGAGTTGGATCACTTAGCCACGCCGGCCCACGCTTCATAATTGGAGCACTTGGCGTCTTGGCTATGCTTCAAAGAAAGATTATAGAAAGTTACTCAAAATGGCCAGTAAATTTTTTCAGGATATCTCCTTCAAAAGTTCAAATGACTAGTATGGCTATCAAAATTGTGGACACTAATATGAAGGTTCTAGTCTCCAATGGTAGTATCAGGAAGGTCTTGTCTTGAGAAATGGTCAGGTTAAGACTAGCAGCTCTATAGTGAGAACCGTATAGCTGAGTATTTTTTTTTATAGTTTCTTCAACTTTCAACCTAATTTATACATTCCTTCATTAGCCTTTACCTAATTTCAACATTCCTTCTTGTTAGTCGTTTGTGTCTTCTAATTCACCAAGCCAACCTAAATTTCTTCAAACTCTCAAAAGTCGTAACCTTTTACTCGTGATGAGGTACATGAGTCATAATACATCAATTCCATTGTAATATAATTCGGTGTTTTATATTCTCCAACATTCAGGGGGTTGGCTCACTTGGCTGGCTACCCTGACCCTCTTGGAGTCTTGGCTCCCCCTGCATATGAAATAGATCTACATAAGCCAAGTATAAGGAGGAACTAGGATATAAAGACAGTCTTCCGTGATGCTTGGTGTTGACCATGCAATACATGCAATACATGCAACGGAAATGATACGGAGCTTGCTATTACTTGGTAATCTCATTTGGCAGACGTACGTATCATGCATTCAAGACGGTGAACAACCTATTTCCACGAAAAAGAAAAGCCTTGCTCTTCGGTCCTCAATCAATGTCACCTAATTAGAGAAAAATAACTATATATATATATATATATATATGAGTGCATATATATCTGTCATGTACGGTACATATTTGCATTGACTTTGTTAGAAGTAAATGAATGATCTAATTTTTTAATCTCTATGATTTAATCTCTAGAGTGCATACACTTGCATGAAATGCATTTCTGGGCCATTGTTGAGAATTCATGCGGATAGACTTATTACCCATCTGTCATGTACGGTACATATTTGCATTTAGATGTTTTCACATCCTTAATTCCTTCTGAATTTGCTACAAAAGGATTTAATTTGGATGGCTTGATTTTGTGAGGTTTCATTTCAGCATAAGAATATAGTTAACGGAATTTTTGAGTGGAATACATCTCGTCTCTCTATGCATTATGAGTAATGTACATTTTCTAAATCTCTGTACTATAAATGCCTATATTATCTGATGTACGTGTGCTTCCCCTTTGCATGGAATAGGAGTGGATTCGGAAAGTTTTTAAATTCATAAAAAAATGTTTGATTATTAAAATGGTCTTTGCACCTTCTTTAATTTATATATTGAATATTCAAAATGAGGGGTATTTGAACAACATTTGCCCACAATAATGCTACGTGTGATATTCTGAGATATAATATTTGTTGTGCATGTGTGCGGTGCCTTTAGATACATAGTATATTATTAAATAATGTGTGATGAATTTGAAAAATTGTGTGTGCAAATAATATATGTGTCATCGGTTATTTTTAATTTGCTTCGTGTGGAAAATCTGTAGAAATTTTATCAATAATTGTTTATGAGCCGGTGACTAGATGTGGTGAAAGAGGTTTTATCTCACTTAATGGTGATTTTTTGAGATACACTAAATTTTATTTTCTTTAAATTTAAGAGTGAGGTTTTGATAAAATATTGGTGTACAAATAAAGATTGAGAGAGAAATTATCTTAATAAAACTGAAATTATCCCTCTGTGAATTTTAGAAGGGCAATGCACCTGGTTTTGAAATATTTAAAATTGTGGGGGTGCTTAGCTAAATTTTTATCACCTATCTCATTGAGTGAAAATGAGTTTCATAACTTTTGGCGACTTTTGCATAAACTGAAATAGTGGAGCATATATATAATTTTCTTAAATTGAAGAATTAGTGTGTCAGTGTGCAATACTTTAAGCTATATTATTGCTGATATTAATGTCATCGGTTTTTGGAGAATGCGAACACACTAAATGATGCATGTGTAATTATTCATTTATATGTTACTGGAATTTTTATATCCTTATTTCAGTAGCTATATTGAGTTGATATATGAATACAATAAAAGTAATTTTTGAGTATTAAAGCCATAAGGAAGAATTTTGGTATTTCACCATCATTATTTTGAGAAACTTCTTAAGAAGTTTGACATTTCACTGTTAACAATGTGAATATCCCTTATGTCTTCAATAAATAAATTTTAAAAAAAAAGAGTTATTGAGATACTTGAGAGGTATAATTAATTATGATGTATTTGGTTGGGATTATCCGTTGTAATATATTGATACAACGATGATATGATTTGTTGAGAAATATTTGTTGTACTAGAGCGGTACAACGATGTTATATATGAGAACTATCCATTGTACTATGATGATACAATGAAGTTAGATATTATATTGAGAACTATCTATTAGGATATAAAATATTAGTGAAATTATCCGATGTACAAAAGTGTCACATTGAGGCTATATCTTATTAAGAGTTATCCGTTGTATTTCCGGAATACAACGACGCAATCTGAGTCGAATCACATGAGATAATATAAAAATGTGGATATCCATTCACCCGGAAAAAGTGGTGTAATGATGTTTGAGAAATATAATTTGTCTAAATGACTTTGAAGAATGGAATTATGTCATTACTTTTGTGAAGTCAAGGAATTAGCTACTCCTTTGACAGAATCCCTAGGACGTTAAATGATTAATTTAAACATCGAGGGAAATGGACTAATGTCACTTCGACAACAAATAGGGATGGGAACCCAACTTGTGTGATTGGAGATCCCATGAAACAAGTTCAAATGGGTAATAACAAGTCTTCTATTTGTTCTGTTAGCCTTGTAAAATGTCCATTTCTATGGTGTGGAAGATTATACTGCATTTCTTTGTGAAGTTGAGATAAAGCTCGTAATGATTATCATAGCCCTTTTGGGTGGTGTGTTAAGTGGAGGACACAATTGATGAGGTCACCTATATGAGTGTGAGGTGGGGCCGCCTCCATGAAGCATTGACAACGTTTCTAGAACACTCAAGAAAACCAAGCACGCGCACGGCCTAGAGGCGCACAACGGCGTTAACAATGAGAAAGGTGGGGGTGAAAAATGATCTCCTAAGACACTGACTTACCAAAGTAGATTATTGGTTCATAGAAACTATATGTTTCACCAATAAACTCGGTATTTAAAGACTTAGGGGTCTAGGTCTGGTTCAAGTCTACAGACACCAGATTGAAAAACCTCACCCCATATATGAACCCAATAAGGAATTATTATTTTTCATAAATAGAATATTCATTTGAAATATGTGGGGGATTTGGAAATTTTGGGGTATTTCAAATGAATAAAGTTTTTAATTAATTTTGTTGGAAATTTTATTATGATTCAAAAGACCATTTTACCGAACACTTTTTAAGTTATTACTCCCTCCGTCTAGCTATGATTGTCCCATTTTACCATTTCGGTGCGTCCCACTAAGATTGTTTCATACCTTATTTGGTAAAGTTTGTGTGGTCATAAATCATTCCTACTTTATTCTTACTTTATCGATTCAATATCAACCACATAAATCCACTTTTATTAATAACTGTGCCACCTTCTCTTGTCCTAAACTTAGGGGGACGGAGGTAGTATTATTATTATTATTCTCTGAAGGTTAATCATTAACTTAACGAGTATTTTTTTTAAGAAAAGAGGAATTTTATTGATAAAAGGAGAACAAAAAAAGAAGAAAAAACGATACAGAAGGGGGAAAAAGTGAAAGCTAAAAATAGAGCTAGTCCCATGGAAAATATCTGGATTGAGATCTTGTTCTCATGCTGTGGCGCTTTTTGTTTTTCTGATTTTTTCTGTAAAGTTTCAGTTGTGTGTTCAAGTTTTCAGTTGGCAGGCAGTTATCCGATGTTACGAAATTTGCTTTGCGACAAATTTCCTTATTAAATTTGGACTTTCGAATTTTTTCTGGGTATGAGATTGGAGGATGATGATCGCTTTATGTTGCATGTTCCAAGAAGTCGTCTCTAAAGTTGGAGTCATCTGAATGATCAAAATCATCGGAGGCATCTGAGTAAGCCTGGATGGGTGGCATTTGGGGTTGTTTCCCAAAAGAGAAGACATGTTGATTCTCAGATTCTGCTGCCCGGATTTGATCATTTAAAATCAATTTGGAGATTGATGTGGGGTCCTCAGGTTCCAAATTGATCCCGTGTTGGATAGAGATTGAGTCGTCCTTGACTGACTTTGAGATCCCTACAAAATTAGATAAAATATTAATGAATTTATTTAGGCTTGCATTATGGGGTCCCACGGGTATCTGAATGGACCCCCATTGT